GTGCTCCACAGTAAGGTGAAGTGCTCCACAGTAAGGTGTGGTGTGAGCTTTGTAGAAGCACTTGGTGGGCAACACCAGGCACCGCAGCCTGGGTGCCTGCTGGGTTTCTCAGCTGGGATACAATCCTGCAGGGAACTGTCACCGATCTGCGCATTCTCGGTGCTCCAAGTCTCCGAGAGCTTGACGTCAGAGGCCTCTGTTACTGCCCTTGTGACTGCCTCCCACTCGGTCACCCTAGGGGCACAGCTAGGGCATCGCTGGCACATTTTCCTAAGGTGTCCTTAAGTCTGAACGTGGCTGTGAGCCTTGTTTACTGTTTGTTTTCTCTTTGAGGCAGAGTCTGCAAGACCAGGTTGGCCTCAACACTGCCTCAGCCTTCTAAGGAGCTCTGATGACAGGCGTGTGCCACCACACTCACTCGGTTGAACTGGGTGGTCTTAAGTTCCATAACCACCCCAGACTTCTCTTTACTCACACATAAAGGGAGGACAGCAAGAATAAGGGCTCAGTACTGAGGAAACGGCTCATTGATCAAGAGTACACACTGTTCCAGAGGGCCCAAGTTTAGTTCCCAGCACCCACCCAGCACCCAATCAGGTGGCTTATAACGCCTGTAACTCCAGCTTCAGGGGACCTGACCTCCTTGGGCACCTGCACTATTATGCATATAACCCCCACACAAGACATACACATTATTAAACATAAAATCTTTAAAAAAGAATCACTTTGTAGACCAGGCTGGCCTCGAACTCACAGAGATCTGCCTGCCTCTGCCTCCTGAGTGCTAGGATTAAAGGTGTGAGTCACCACTGCCTGGTGAAAATAAAGCATTTTTTAAATGATAAAACCATTTTCATGGTTTAACCATCTCCATGGATTATCCTGTAGATTCTGAACAAGACCTAAGTGGTAAGCGCCTGGTATAGGCGTACAAGGTGTGCCAGGAGCTGGAAATGCAGCTTAGTGGTTAAGAGCTGTTCTTCCAGAGGCTTTTAATACAATTCCCAGCACTCA